TTATGTCAAGGTCTTGGAAAATCGTAGGACGATTCTTTTATAAAAGGCAGTGACGAATCTGAATGTATAATGGTAGTACAATGTATATTTATCTAGAATATATTCACCACATACAATCAAAAGATATGTTCAGATTTATTATCCATGTATATCACAAAAATGTTATGTTAGAATGATCATTAGTTGTACTGTATCCGTATCTATAGACTTTGATTCGTATAGCATGAAAAAGAGGGAGTATTTGTTTCTGTATTCATACAATGAATTGGGAAAATAATCACCTAAAAAATAAGAAAGGGGTTCATCAACACTACGTACATAATGTATGTGGTAAATGCCTTGTGTGACAAGTAAAAAGAAATCTGTAATACACCAGATGGTGTTTATTTTCTACGTACTTGATACGCAAAGAGCAGATGGAAATTTAAAGAAGGTGTTATTGCCACCCCTCCCCCTCTTCCTCACCTGAGATGCAATGTATTACCGGAAATTTCTCCAGCCACTACCGAAATTATTCATATAACATGCGCAGATCTGGGGGGGGGGGGAGTCGGGGGACACCCCCCCATCTGGAATTTGCAGAGTTATTAAAAGTATATACTGAAGTAAATAAAAAATGACTTTGGGCCCCCTTAGAAAACGTGGACCCTACCATCACCACCACGAAATAGGTGTTTTTCACGTTTTGGAAATGGAATTGGATTTTACGTTTTTTTCTTGCTTGTCAAGAAATTTTTGGGTTAGAAATTTTTTTGACTGGGATCCCCCCCCCCCTGGAAAAATTCTTGATCCGCGCCTGTATAATCATTATTCAAAATTGTTAGGTAATATCCGAAACAACATATGTGCAATGTATAGCATTTATGAAAATCGAACTTCAAAAAATCTGTCATGACTACATGAGACCGATTGTATTATTTCCTCCATGGTTACCACGGAGAATGACTGAGGACTTCGAAAAGGATAATTTAAGGAGATTGGCAAAGTTCCTAGCTTTCGTAAAGAATTTTTCAAAAACTCTTGAGCAGGTGTAGTGGTACTAAACAATACACTTTATTGGTTTTCACCGCGTAGAAAATTCTACACGGGAGATAAGTCTCAATCAAGCTCCAGACAGCTCAGTATTACTCCATATCATTATTCGTAGGGAAAGAAGTCCCGGAGAGTTTGGAGTATGACTCCCAGTCATACTCCATACAGTGTCAATTCTCCGGGACTACTTGGTATGGAGTTGTAGCGTAACGTAATACTGAGCTGTCTGCAGCTTGGACTCTCATGATCGAAAACCCCATGAATTACCTTTTTTCTCCGGATAACCGTGAGTTGCCACTTTCCATAAATGAATAAAATAAATAATCATAAATAATCAGCGTTTTATAAAAGAAATATATTTTTGATTTAAAATTAGACTGAAACGCTTCTAGTCGACATCACGAAAATGTACATATCATGTAGCTTGAAATGGGAAATATGACGCACGCTTGACAACGTCCCCAGAAACAATCAGTCAGTATAATTCAATTCAATTCAATTCAATTCGTTTATTGACCAATTAAGGGCCCTCATGGGGCAAAAGGAAAATACATTGTTAAAATGTATATAATGATTATGATCATACACACGAAATACAATATACATATACATAAGAGGGAAAGAATTACTTGATTGATAGAAAAGACATACAAGTAGGGGAATACCCAAAATATTTTATATGAACATAAGACTTGTTTTATAGGTATATATACAGTACATCATATATATATGCATACATTACTAAACCATATACTTGAAAGTATCATACTTTTACATAATTAATAATAATAATAATAAAAAAAAAGTTATATTCCTAAGATTTATGGTAATGTTTTTTGTAAAAAACTTCCAAGAGAGTTTAGTATATCTAGTTCTTCGCAATTTAGAATCCAGAATATTTTTTGTTTATCAGGCAATTCTGTAAAATGTTTTACTTTAGATGAGATCAGGTTAAATAGGTCTTCTCTTTCCTTTGTGAATTTGCTACAGTGAATAAGGAAATGTTCTTCATCTTCAATTTGATTAAGCGTACAATTTTTACATATTCTTTCTGATCTGGGTGTGTTACTGTATCTGCCTAATTCTATGAAAAGTCTGTGCGCTGACACACGTAATCTACATATTGGTTTTCTGTATTCAGGTTTTAATAAAATTAGATATTTTTCCAAATCTAAAATTGTTCTTCAGAAATAAATAAGTGACAAGTTTGCCCTCTTTTAGTGTTTCATTTGAGTGTTGCCAATAAAGTGAGTATATTTTATTCATGGATTGTTTTAATGAATTCATAAAATTACTCTTAGTATAGGACATTATGTTTGGGATATATCTGGGTGCATTGGGGGGGGGGGGGTTATAGCACAAATTAATGTAGAAAATAGAAATTCCTTGATACGCAAAAAAAAAGGAAGAGGATCAACTGATGTTCCCTCCCCCTTCCCCCGTTCATACAGACGTGAGATACATAAATGACTTGTATATAGAACTGGACATTCAACTTTGCCCAAAATGCTTCATGTCGGTAATAAAAGAAAATATTTTACAATAATGATTTTAAATTTTAATCGGTCATGCAATACAGCCTGCTAGATTATCCCACAGTCTGTCTATTATAGTCACAGTAAAATGTGTAATTTCTTTTTCTTTCTTTTTCTTTTGGCAAAAAAAAAAAAAAAAGAAAAGAAAAAAAAAAAGAAAAAAATGAAATATTATTTCATATGTAGTTCATTATGACGAGGAAGAGTAATATTTTTATAAGAAAGAATTAAATCCAAACCATGATTATACTTTAAATCTGATGTATATGTTTTCAATATTGAATTACCTGTTTTAAGCTTTAACATTACATGTATTTTGTTTCTGCAGTAAATACAGAGCGAATACAACATTAGGCTATATATTACCCTATCCACAAATAAAGGGCAAAATATTATCATAAACTGAAAACAAGTTTATTGTTAAAACTAAAGGGAAGCATATACATACTTTTATTTTTTTATCGATCTCAGTATTAAACTCTACACTTGGAATAAGAAATTTCTTTAAATATTGTAATAAAAATAGACTATATATAATTATATATATTAGAATTTTGATGTGTACGCATGAATATCATAATAGTATTATAATTTGTTCTTCAGCATAATTTATTAAAATAGAGAATTCATATCTATTGATTTAAAGCAAACACATGACCATTACATTGTCATTGCTATCTGCCGCGGGCTCTACCTGCGGGTACCTGTCAGGTATACGAATACTTCACACCCCCATTGTTTTATTGCCTATACACACCGGCAGATTTCACACCTTTAATCGTCCTAATTTACACAAAGCAAATGCTGGGGAAAAACAAACACAAGCCCAATAAATGCGACATTTTTTTTTTTTAAATCATTGCCCTAAACGGCATTGCTAAAAGCACACTAAACATGGAGTAGCAATTCCTGCCCTAAGAGATATATTGTACAAAAAAATAAACACAACAGCTAGGGTAAATCCTTCATCTTTCTTCATATGATGTAAACAAACTCTCTTTAATTTTATGTGTTTAAGTCAAGATTAAAACATTTTGCACCACCCGGACCTTTAAACTTAGGCGGACCTTTTCTTATACGGGCCAGACCTTTTCTTATAAAAGGCGGACCTTATATGTTATCGTATTAGGTCCCCCCGGACCTTTAAACGAGGCGGACCAAATATTATGCGACACCGGTAGGGGACTAGTATTGCTCATGCAATACTCTCAGAATGCTTGTTTTCTTTCTAAAACTCCTTTTACATTTTCCATTGTAGCCAAATCATCTTTTAGAATATGATTGGTGATGTTTCTGTAGATGTGCAATTAGATTTTGGAGTTTTCAAATTCACCCTGGGGACCAATTAGTAAGTAAAAAAAAAAGACATTTTTTCTACAAAAACCTAGTTCCCAGAACTCTTCTTATATTCTATAACCAAATTATCTTTGGAGTATGTAAATGTGCAATAAGATTTTGGAATTTTCTTTATAACGCAGGTGTCAAATCATCTCTTGTAAGTGATTGGCTTGATTGTTGGTGAAACCGGAGGGGACTATAGGTTTCCTCGGAGTCTGTTCGTCCGTCCGTCTGTCTGTCTGTCCCTCTGTCTGTCTGTCAGTCTGTCCCACTTGGTTTTTCCGCACTTTTTTCCTAAACGCTTGCAGATATTGAGCTGATTTTTGGTATGTGAGTGTATCTTGATGAGTTACAGATCAATTTGCATTTCGTTCCCCTTCATTGATTTTTGACGGAATTATGGCCTTTTCAATTTTTACGGGTTTTCCGCAATTTTCTTCTAAACGCTTTCATATATTGAGCTGATTTTCGGTATATGACTTTACCTTGATTAGTTATAGATCAAGTTTGCATTCGTCCCGCTTCATTGATTTTTGACAGAATTATGGCATTTTCAATTCTTAAAGGGGAACCAGATTACACTTGCCGGTAGGGGACTAGTATTGCTAATGCAATACTCTTAGAATGCTTGTTATATGAAATATTGACAGCTCATTTGCCACATACTCACCTGAGCATGATATGCTCAATTTGATACATTATATTTATGTAGATTATAGAATAACCATTGTCTTCTACATTACTTACAAGTATACCCAGATACGTACGAAGGTGAGTGCATTTAGAAGCAAACGCTTGCCTGCTGGTATTACTGTCTTGTGACTGTAAGGTGGGCGCAAGAACAATTTTATTTCTTACGATAAATAAGGATTACAACTTGCATCTACATTTCTCAATCGCGTTGTATTAATTTTCATGCAGTAATTGTCACTTTTTTCACTATTCATTTCATACTAAAATAATGTATCTGAATTTGATAAATGAATGACAATAAAAACAAAAATATAATTCCATTGATTAATTCTTTACTAAATTATGAAAACAAAAACACGCAAAGTGATGTTCAAAATTGTATGTTTATTATATAGTAGCTGTTCATAACATAAAGCAAGGATGATAAGTTTCTCCGTTCTGTTCAAGCTTGTACCATTTTGAATACGGTTCACCAAAACAGAACTCGTCAAACCTCACGGTCATCTGGCCAATACGGAAGTTTCTGCCGTATTTATTATAATGCCAGACTGTCACCAGTAATTCTGAATCGTGTAAGTCTGATTTTGATATAAAATACTGAAATATAAAGAAAACAATTATGGTATTTTCAAAAAGGTCTTTTACGGATTATCATTTTATTCAAAATTAATTGCAATACTGAAGTTACATAACTCTAGAGCGTTACACTAATACACTGTACGAAAGTTTGATCTGTTTAAAAATGATTGGAATTCCTTGCAAGGTTAAAGAAAGACAGATTAGTGGCTAGGAGACTTCTGATTATTTTCACAATGTAGAGGTTTACAAATGTTGATGTTGCTCTATACATATTTGTAACTACTGTTGAAAGAATCCAACTTGAATTTTCATCCTTATACTTGCTGAAAAAATATTGCATGAAAAAACGTTTATTCTTATTCCATAGAAAAGGTCAAAGTTCAAAATTTTCACTTGTTTGACCTTATCATAGCACCACATTCCCTTATAATTGCTACAAATGAATAGGTGGAAGAATCCTAGTTTTTAGGGTAAAAAGCCGATTTCTTAGCTCATGTTTTAGGTTGTTAAACAAAAGTAATATTAATATTCATAATTGTCACGGGCATCCAATTTGAACGTATAGCTCCATTATTTTAGAAGATACTAGTAGTTATACTTTTCATATTCTGCCTCTGTGTTTGCTATTAACTTATGTTGCAAGGGATATCAGTTTTTGAGATATTCTCCAATTTACTTCAATAATGTTCATCTTACCCGAAATAATTCATAGAACTTCGGATTGGTTGAAGAAGGCAGGACCTTTGTTTTTCTTTTGCCGTATTTGATGTCTGCGATAACAAGGTAAGATTTTACGTATCTAAAATGAAGAACAAAGAGACAATTTAAAGAATTGAACAGTTTTGCTTCATTAAAATAGTTTTATTATAACTACTTTAATTAAATCGAATCACATAACTCAAAAAACATTGTCCTAGTGACGGTTTGGTATACTTATATGTATGTTGTTTTGGAATGATTGATGAAGATGAAAATTATCTGGATTACATTTTCAGGGTTCCCCCCTCTAAAATTTGTCTTACGGGTTTGACTGTTGTTTCTTCAAATCCACAATAGGGAGATTACGACATTCCATAATGGACACATCAAGACTCTTCAAGTTATTGTTGTATTTCACCACGAGGCATATAGCAGGATCATTATCCCTCTAAAAGTGAAAAATTGAAAAAGAACCCTGAAGATTGTATATACACAGAAATATTAGAGCTACTGATGAAAAGTTTCCGTAGAAATGCCAAACTACGTGCACAATAATTTTATAGAATGTACTTCTATTATTCTTGTTTGATATAAACCGGTAAATTATCTGGAAGGTGTTGGAAATGCAATTTTATACTCACCACATGATCGTTTTCTTTGGAATCCCAACCAATGCTGTATCTAGAACACTCTGAATTGAATATTTAAGAAATTTTTTTAAAAACAGTTCTAAAACTCAGTTCATTATCATTTTATGTAAGTAAAAGTGTTTCTGTATATAGCATTATTAAGTCATAATTTCAAAACAAAACCAACCCTTTTTCTTCTCATTTAAAAGATCATCAAAAGAAGAAAACGATTTTTCGGTTTCGTCTTTTGAACTTTGCTCCTCAAACTGGGAAATACAATAGCTTTCTCTGTCATCTTCACAGTAAACAGTGGTCTCCAAACATGGACTCCCTGGCGAGCTCCAATACCAGTTAGTTTCCGTCCAGGATGTCACCAGATACGCCGGATCTCCGACAGTTCCAGATCCTAAAGAAAAGAGGGACGCTGTATACAAGTTACATTTATTTGTAAAAATGTTATACTTTGATCTCCTTTACACCCAATTAAAACGTCGGAAAAAATCTGTATTGATGAAATTTGAGAGAGATGGTCTGAAAGAAATGTACAATGCGTACTAGTTTAGCTCATTTTGAAAAAAAGGAATAGCTTTGTTTGTTTGTTTGTTGTTGTTGTTTTTTTTTTTTTTTTTTTTTTTTGACAACATTGATCAAACGGCGAAATATTACAACCGTAACGATATGAAATGTACAATTTATTTAAATATAAGACGAGGTAAAAAAAATTACACATATTAAGAACACAAATCTGAGAGTTTATCCTAAAAAGATGAATAATGAGCTTAGCTCACTGTAGATATTAGTAAAGCTTACTTGTAAAAGAATGAATGTTCTTCGTGTTATCTATACTTATAAATTAATAAATTTTGCAAATAAACTCCGAAACGGATGCACCAGAGTTTTTACTTACTCCTCTAAGAATACACTAGATACAATATGATGTCCGTAAACTATATTTAGATTTCACTCGCATTGTAAGTATCGTACATTAAATAAAAAGTCTACTTTTATTTTCTATAAACAGCCATGAAATAGCAAAAACGTGAGTATGGTGGCGTTTCCGGTTGGTGGATCTAAGTTTCTGGCAATTTTTTATGGAACTGACAACAATCAGTCGTTTATTTATTTCATAAAACGTCATCACTGAATTATTCAATCAAAACTTGATTTAAATGACATAAAAGAAATAAGTTGTGATAACCGAATAAAAAGGGAGATGTGCAAATTATTTTTGTCATTCACCGATCTTGATATTGACGGAAGCTTCTAGAACATCATATAGCATCGAGCCCGATGTTAAAAAGAAAACGAGACAATTATAGCTGTAGGAACATAAGAAAAGTTAATGTGTGAATGGTCATTGAAATAATGGTAAATCACTGATATAAACACTAATATGTTGACGGTGCGACCGTTGGGGCGAGCGCAGTGTTCACTTCATTATTATGATCCGCCTCTTCAAACCGCACGAGACATTTGGAACGTCTAGACTGTGACGTCACATGACGTATGTTAGCTGCTTTCATTTCCATAAACAAAGTTTAAAAAGTGCAAATATTTTAACAAAGAACGTTTAATCTACTATCTGCATGCAATATCCATTAAATTAAGGTGAGTTTATTTTGTGTGAATTTTTAGTTGTTGTCACCGCGTGAACGAAGTTAGCAGCGAGAACAAGAAGCGATGCATTGTGGGTCAGAATTACTGCGGAAAAAAATCTATTGAATGAATGTGCAGTAGTCCGAATTTTCTCTTCGCCCAGGCGTTGTCGTTAGAGCTCGCAGTGACGAGCGGCGCTTCGCGCCGCTCGCTGCGCTCGCTATAACTTGTGAATATATTTATATATCGAAAGACTATTACATATATGTAGTAGGTTTTCCTGATAAATTTATCGGTAAAATTTGTATATATTCCTCAATGCTTACATGAAAAGAGAAAATTAATGAATAAGATATTGTTCAAATACAATTAAAGCTGTAAAATTTTGTGCTTTAATCAATACATTTCATTTTTATTTTTTTATTTATTTATTTATTTTGAATACAGTCTTTTGTATCAAATACCCGGCCTATTCATAGGGCGTTAAAAGCTAATTTTTACACAGATACAGTTTGCATCTTGGTTTACATATATGTATGAACCTTATTGATATGTAAAAAAGGTAAAGTACACTTTTTACATATCAATAAGATACATACATATTTAAAAACCAAGACACGAGTACCTGTGAATTTTTAACCCCCCTTCCCCCAAAAAATCAATTTATCAGTAAAATGTGCATATTCGCTGCTTTTAATTTATCCTTGACGGAAATGAAATAAGAGCATGCAATATATCCATAACATAGTATAACAGGTTTCATAATAAACATCAATCAATGAAATTGTTATTTTTTTCAAGTTTTTACAAAAGGGGGTGGGAGAGGGGGGGGGGGAGAGACGCACATGCGGGATTTTGAACAAAGTATTTCTTCCTGCTATAACCCTGTAGGCTGTCAGTAGAAACTACATTATAATTTTCTGTCGGTAGTGGTATAAATTCAATTCCCCGCGCTTGCGCGGGATTTCATCTAGTGTATAGGAAATATATCAAGGATGAGAACAGAATGCCATGTCAAAATGTTTAACCTTAACATGAATACCTTAAATAAGAGGGAAACAAGATAAACCTATGGAAACCTAAAGAAGGTCTGTAGAAAGGAAAAGGACACAACTTCATAACTTGCATAATTTAGATTGTGTGGTGAAGCTGCCATTAAAAGGTACAGACAGATCAGAATGACCTGATTCTCTATGTGGAGAGACAGAATTAGTTCAAACTAAACATGTTAAGATGGTGACCATCTCAAAGGGCAAAGTTTTGGCAAAGGATGTTAGGATGAAAGACCCTTTATCTGAGGGCACTCTTTGGGTGAAGTCTGAGCCAGATGGAGTCAAAAATGCTCAAGAAAAGAATTTTACAGTGATTTGCTATAATCTTGACCACTAACCTAGAACCTTTGCTCAAGGATACTGCAAAGCCTCTACCAATAGGACCTCTATGGGTAAAGTTGAGCCAAGTAGGGCCATGGGGAGAGAAAATATGCCCTGGATTTTACTCAAAGAGGTTTTCTGACCTTAACCTTTCACCTATAAAAAAAATGTTCAAGGCCATGCACACCCTCTAACCACAGGCACTGTATAGGTAATGTATGAGCCCAAGTGTGCCAAGGGGAGAGAAAATATGCATGTGACAAAGATTTTACACAGAGAGGTTTCTCAACCCGACTTTCAATTCAGAAAATTGGTTTAAGGTCACTGCACACCCTCTACTCATGGGCACTCTATTGGTGAAGGTTGAGCTAGATGGGCCAAGGGAATAGAAAATATGCTCTAGATAAGTATTTTACACAGTGGTTTTCTGACCTTGACCTTACATCTAGAAAATTGTTCAAGGTCATTGTGCACCCTCTACCCAATGATACTCTTCTGGTGAAGTATGAGCCAAACTGAACCAAGGGGAGAGAAAACATGTTCTGAACACTGAATTTACACAGAGAGATTTTTTAGACCTTGACATTTGATTGGAAAATTGGTTCAAGATCACTACACACCCCTAACCACTATTTGGGTGAAGTTTGAGACTGTCTGGGCCAAAGGGAAAGAAAATTTACTCCAAACAAGATTTTTTTATTCAGAGATTTTCTGACCTTGACTTTTCATCTACAAAATGGTTCAAGGTCACTGCACACCCTGTATCCACAGGCACCCCACGATTAATGTATGAGCCAACCTGGACCAAGGGGAGAGAAAATGTACTCCGGACAACATCTTCGCTAACCAAGGGTTTCTGATCCACTACTCTCCTCATAAACCCTTGGCCTATGATGCTGTCAAAAGTCAGGATTGTTTACGTTACCTGTTCTTGAATTTTACCTTATATGCAGAGACTGCTTCATCGACAGAAATAAGAAGCATATTTAAAAATGAAAGTATTTAAGGAATAATTAACAATCAGGTATTGAGCGATGTTTATTTAATATGTAGGGAGCAAATCTTTATCTGCAATATAGATTCCTGACGACATTATGTGCATATCTGCTTGAAGGTGGATGAAACCATAGCTGTTTATAGAATGGCACATCATCTTATGGATAATTGTTTACTTGTGTTTTTCATTCCCGAGACTAAAGAGTCAAGTTGTATCCCGAATAGATTTACAAAAGCTTTCGCTGATTGGTAGGGCTGGGACGATATATTGAGATATCAATAATATCGATTCTATGTGAGGATGATATGCATATCAATACATATGAAGAAATATCAAAATATCGCAAAACACCACTTGTGTAAAATAATTTAGTTTTTCAACAGATATACAACTTCTTTGAATAAATTATTCTTATCTCTGAAGAAATGTTTTGTTCATTTCAATACAAAAAAAGAATTTATAATTAATTAAGCATATTGTATTACACATCATATTGTGGCTCAAAAAAGTTGTATCATCCCACCCTATTGATTGGTAGAAAAAATCAATTGACTCCAATCACAACTCAAGAAAAAAATTCTGACTTTTGATAGTACCATAGGCCAAGGGTTTGTGAGGAGAGTGGCATTTCAGAAACCCTTGGCTAGCAAAGATGCTCCGGCCAAGGATTTTACACAGAGAGATTTTTTTTACCTTGACCTTTGATCAAGAAAATTTTTTTAAGGAAAGTGCATACTCATAGATGGGCAATCTATGGGTGAAGTTTGAGCCATTACTGGGACAAGGGGATAAAAATATGCTCCAGACAAATGAAATAGAATGGACGGATAGACAAACAGACAGACTGATCACTATAGAGCTGTGAGAGCACCCACAGAGTGTGACCCGAATAACTCTTAAAAGCAACTTCAGATAAATCTTATCTAATGTTCACTAATGAGAATACACTCTTCACTACTTTCAGTGAACCGGTTCTATTACATGAACAAAACTGATTTATCTTAACAGAATCTGATCTCACAGGTCTAAAAAAAACTTTCTTTTGTTGAAATAATGATTGACCAGAAATCAGATTCAAATTCTGAACAATTGAATAGGTACATGCAGAATGTTTAATTATGATGGAATAATAAATGGCACTTATTTAGCATGATAAGTAAGCAGAATTTTTAATGGACCAATATCCATGATTTCAGACATAAGAAAGCTATTAACAACAGTTATGAGGAATATTATGTTGTAGAAGTATTTTAAAAGAATGTGCTATTAAGATCATACAGCTAGTCACATGAAAATATTCAACAATGACCAAAGCAAATGTACAATTTATTGGACAATAGACAAAAACAAGTTTGAAGCTTTAATAGAAAGTTTCTTTTTTTTCTATAAATATCTTCAAACATAGCCTCAATTTCTGCTCTGCTTCCTTCATATTTCAGTAATTACATGTATATATAAATTATAATAAATACTTTACCTGTATAATTCCATAATAAAATTTCAAGGCACCAATCCATGATCATCACGTACAGAACTTTGTGATTTTTTTTCCCACAGACTGGACAATGAAGATTTATGGTCAATGCCCTAACATTTTCAAACCACATTCTGGCCATTTACGTAAATAGCAATTTTATTCGAATCTGTCTTGATAATTTGTGGTCTCTCTTTATCAATTTGATCTGTCCTCTTCGTGAACTTGTTACATTACAATAGATGGAATTTCATGTAATTGTGTAGATATAAATATAATGCAGGAAGGTGAAAAGTAACACCTTGCGTCGAAGTTCTAAAACTGAAATTCAATAGTAAACAAAAACAAACAAACAAACAAACAAAAACAAGATGTGTTTGTGAAACACTGATGCCCCCGTATGGCAACTTATGGCAAAGGTTAAACTTTCTCAAATACAAATCAAATATGTTGGTACCCAAAATAAGGTCTTGTCTCGGGGAATATACTAGTGAAATATGAAAGCCCTAGCCCTAGCATTGAAAAGATATGGAAAAGGTTAAAGTTTTTCAAAAGTAAGTCAAACATCAAGGTCAAATGGTCAAAATTAATAATGCCAACGGAATTGCCTTGTCACAAGAATACACATGTGAAATATGAAAGCCGTAGCACCAATCGTTCAAAAGTTATGGCCAAGGTTAAAGTTTTTCAAAAGTAGGTCAAACTCCAAGGTCAAGGTCAATGGATTACAATTCTTGGTATCCAAAGGAAGGTCTTGTCACAAGGAATAGACTTGTTAAACATGAAAGCTCTAACACCAACTGTTCAAAAGTTATGTCCAAGATTAAAATTTTCCCAAAGTAGGTCAAACTTCAAGGTCCTGGTCAAAGAGTCAAAGTCGATGGTATCCAAAGGAAGGTCTTGTCACAAGGATTACATATGTGAATATGAAAGCTCTAGCTCAAATCGTTGAGAAGTTATTGCCAAGGTTCAAGTTTTCCAAAAGTAGGTCAAACTCCAAGGTCAAGGTTAATGGGTCAAAGTTGTTGGTATCCAAAGGAAGGTCTTGTCACAAGAATTACATTTGTGAAGTATGAAAGCCCTAGCACTAACCGTTCAAAAGTTATGGCCAAAGTTTAATGTTTTCAAAAGTAGGTCAAACTCCAAGTTCAAGGTCAAAGGGTCAAATTTGTTGGTATCCAAAGAAAGGTCTTATCACAGGAATTACATATGTGAAGTATGAAAGCCCTGCATCAACTGTTCAAAAGTTATGGGCAATGTTTAAGTTTTACAAAAGTAGGTCAAACTCCTAGGTCAAGGGTCAAAGGGTCAAATTTGTTGGTATCCAAAGAAAGGTCTTGTCACAAGGATTGAACATATGAAGTATGAAAGCCCTAGCACCAACCGTTCAAAAGTTATGGCCAATGTTAACATGCAGTAAAATTCACAAAACTGGGTCAAGGTCAAAAGGTCAAATTTGATGGTACCCAAAGAAAGGTCTTGTCACAAGGAATACGCATGTGTCAAGAGTTATGGGTAATGTTAAAGTTTTTGCGGACAAACAGATAAACAGACAGACAGACGGACGGACAGGGTAAAAACTATGTACCAAAAAAAAAAAAAGCAAATAAAACAGAAAAAACAATCATTAAAAAATTGAAAAAAAAAATCGCCAAAATTCCATAGTTTTGTTAAAATTATTTTTTTTTCTACGTTGCCTATGCAAACTTTTCGCAACACCATTTACATGAACGTTTATAAATGTTTCTAACCCAAAAATCAAAACACGTCGCATATCATTGAAGGAAATTCATACATACCGTGTACTTCCATTTTAATTAGTAAAGAAGATGGGCGAACAAGGCGTACAAAATACCGATTGTTTCAAATGTATGAAAATCAAATTCAGTATGTAAATTAAATGTTTACAACGGAGTTCAATCATTCAAAATTATGAAATTCAATGACAAACAAAAATTCGTAAAAATGTGTAAAAATTCTCTCGTCAAAAATTATTCTATGGTTGCCAAAAAATAAGGATAGTCTGGGATTTGAACCTAATGGCTAAAATTCCGAGTTTTAGTTTATTCCGTCTAACCATTATAACAAGCATCTTGAATCTTGAATGTGATAACAAAAAAAAAACTGGACTTCTCGAAAAGATACGAATTTTGCGTCATAAAAGTATACTTTTAAGGTAGAGGTGTTCTTGCTTCATGCTTTTGTTTTGCGAAAAATGTATATTTTTAAACACATTTTAATAGATATACTTTCAAAAATAAGGGGCAAAGACCACTTGCATAGAAAAATTGTGTTATGAAATGAAGAAATGATCATTTTTGCCCGTGTGTGCATACTATTTCATAGACGAATAATTTCAACACCTGTGAGAATGTTGCAAATTGTTGAGATTTTTACGTAAAGTATTTATTAATGTTAATTGAAATATCAAATAAAATTATAATTTAGATTCTTTTTTTTTTCATTTTCTTATTTGTTGAACCATAGACATTTTACTTAGCTTGTTTGCCCATCTCCTTTCAACTACTTCAATAACTGCGTTTATAACACAGTCATTTCGCGAATAGCGCCGCTCAGAACCATTTCTGCAAATAGAAGGTTTCGTCGCTCTCTTTTTTTTTTTTTCGTTTCCCCCTCCTTTTTTATAGCAAAAAGGGCATTTAGATCCATCTCCCATGCACAAGAAGGAGAATTTCAGTCTTGCAGAAGAACTCAGTTTCAATTCCACACCCGGTAAATCAACCTACCGGTATATTCACAGTTCCCTTTCAAAAGATTATTTTTTCAAAATCGCCTTTCAGTTTTAAATACTTTTAAAATTCCAGTCTGTGGAAGTGAATTTGATTTACCTTACTTCTACCGGATTCCAAAACTTCATAAAAATCCTTACTAAAAAAGATATATTGCAGGGTCCAGTAATTGTTCAACCAAGACCCTATCCTTACTCCTTACCCAAATATTAACTGTTGTGAAAGAGGAAATTCAGATGTAGATTCAACAGGTGATGTAAATCAAATGTTTATTCTAAAAATCCCCAAAGAACTTTTGGAAAATTAATCCCAAAACTTTTCAAACATCAATGGCACCAAACATATGACTTTTCTACGCTTTATACAACCATTAAAGAACAGGTTTTTCGACATCATAGACAACTGCTTCCTCAATAAAAATAGAAATCGTAAATTTTCATATTTTGTGATTGGTCATCAACAAAATTACTTTGTTAAAAATTATTCTGATTCTACATACAAATGCTCCGAAATTAACGGAGTTCCTCATTGACAATATCTATTTAATCTTTGGAGACCAGTCTTTCAACAATCTGTTGGAATTTCAACGGGCACTGATTGTGCTTTTTTTAATTAGGTGGCCTGTTTTATATTCCTGTGAAGCAGAGTTTTATTATTCAAAAACTTCTACATGAGAAGAAAACTTACTGTGGCCTTCAACTCACTCGACACTCAGATAAACCGACGACGTTCTATCAATTACCAATAGTTATTTTCATTCATATGTCGACTCGATATATCCCAGTCAACTCGAAATAAGACACTACGGAGTCTGCCACATCTGTTTCAAGTTTGGATGTTTTAATGACTATAGACGATAATGGCCAACTAATAACTTAACGCATGACAAACGGGATGACCTCTGCTTTTCCATCGTCAAACTTCCATTATTTATGTAGTAATATTCCAACAACACCTGCATATAGTGTTTATGTCTCCCAATTGATTAGATAAGCTAGAGCATGCTCTGAGTACGATCAATTTTTTAACCGAGGCAGCTACTGACAAATAAGTCAATGTTACAAGGATTTCAATAACTCCGTTTAAAGTCAGCTTTTCGCAAATTTTACAGTCGTTATAATGATCTTGTTTTTAAATGTAACCCATCACTGGGTCGTATTTTGTCTGACATATTTCATACCATTTGTTAGGTCATTGCTTTTATACTAAGTTTAATTCCGGCGTATTCCGTATACCTGATTTATACATAGGGCTCATGGCAAATGTGACCGGACAACAGGGGAAGCTTACTTCTCCTAGGCACCTGATCCCAACTTTGGTGTTTTCAATGGTCCTTGTTTCTGGCCTGTTCACGATTCGTTTTGTTTAACGGATTTATGAGATTGATCACTGTTTGTTATCTTCACCTTTTTCATTTTCAATCATTGTTTTTATGCCCCCGTATCGAAGACTCGTCCGTCTGTCTGTCTGTTTGTCCACAAAAACTATAACACTGCTCATAACTTTTGATTGGTTGGAGCTATGGCTTTCATATTTCACATGTGTATTCCCTGTGACAAGACCTTTCTTTGGATACCATCATATTTGACCTTGACCTTAGAGTTTAACCTAGTTTTACAAAATTTTACCCAACTTTAACTTTTTCCATAACTTTTGAACAATTGGTGCTAGAGCTTCCATACTTCACATGTGTAATTCTTGTGACAAGACCTTCCTTTGGATACCAACAAATTTGACCCTTTGACCTTGACCTACTTTTGAAAAACTTTAACCTTGGCCATCACTTTTGAACGGTTGGTGTGAGGGCTTTCATACTTCACATGTGTATTTCTTGTGACAAGACCTTCCTTTGGATACCAACAACTTTGACCCTTTGACCTTGACCTACTTTTGAAAAACTTTAACCTTGGCCATAACTTTTGAACAAATTAGTGCTAGGGCTTTCATACTTCACATATGTAATCCTTGTGACAAGACCTTTCTTTGGATACCAACAACATTGACTTTTTGACCTTGGAGTTTGATCTTCTTTTGGAAAACTTTAACCTAGGCCATAACTTTTGAACGGTTGGTGCTAGGGCTTTCATTTGTCACCTGTGATTCCTTGTGAGAAGACCTTCCTTTAGATACCAACAATTGTAGTCCATTGACCTTGACCTTGAAGATCGACCTACATTTGAAAAACTTTAACTTTGGCCATAACTTTTAAACAGTTGGTGCTACGGCTTTCATACTTCACATATGTAATCCTTGTGACAAGACCTTACTTTGGATACCAACAACTTTGACCCTTTGACCTTGACCTCTGTGTTTGACCTACTTCTGAAAAACTTTAACCTTTTCCATATCTTTTGAATGGTTGGTGCTAGGGCTTTCATATTTCACATGTGTATTTCTTGTGAGAAGATCTTTCCTTTGGCAACATTAATTTTGACCATGTAACCTTGACCTTTACGTTTGACTTACTTTTGAAAAACTTACTTTTGAAAAACACTATCCTTTACCATATCTTTTGAATGGTTGGTGCTAGGGCTTTCATATTTCACATGTGTATTTCTTGTGAAAAGACCTTTCCTTGGGCAACATTAATTTTGACCATGTAACCTTGACCTTTACGTTTGACTTACTTTTGAAAAACTTACTTTTGAAAAACACTATCCTTTTCCATATCTTTTCAATGGTTGCTGCTAGGGCTTTCATATTTCACAGGTATAATCCTCGGGACAAGACCTTACTTAAGGTACCAACATATTTAATTTGCATTTAAGAAAGTTTAACCTTCGCTATAAGTTGCCACACGGGGGCATCAGTGTTTCACAAATACATCTTTTTTTGTTTTTGTTTGTTTGTTTTTTTGTTTTGTTTTGCAGTTGATACATACGTGTTATACCTGTCAAAGAGGTGTGTACTTTATTAGTGCTATGATATAACTGACTGTTTCATTGCGTTGCTTTAATGATATTTCAGTCATATTTGAGCTGTTAAAATGCGTCTTTCTGACAAAGTAACACAGATATATTTGTCAGCTGATACAGAACTTCTGTAAAACGATTCTGCGTTAAAAGCAGAGAAGTTTAAACGTCAAGAAATTGACATCAATTTTGTAAACGGAAATTGACACCATGTACCATGTTTATTTCTTTCGCTAAACCGGAAACAGTATTGTAGATTGCTATAACCTGTTCCCGTTGCTCTCTTCTATTGACAGTCATCCTTCGCTAGTCAGACGGACCATCAGTTTAATTAACTATTGTAATCCATCGCCTCACAGAAAGAACATCAATTAACTATAGTAAATATCCCTGTAAATCCATGCAAGATATTGAATTCATAGAGAGGGAACTAAGTTGGAAAGTAAATGGGAAAAATTAGGCCTCTATTTGCATGAAATAGGTATAAATCTTGTTCAAATGTTCCACGTTTAAGCTGTCTCTGGCTTACTGATGTAAGACCAGAAAAATCGAACGTGTACATGTACCGTTTTACACATTCAATCATGATTGTAATGCAGAAGTCATATTCATTTAGATTTTGTTGTCTTTACGATTAAATTGGCCGAAATTTTAGCACAGGAAAAATATTACTTTAGATTTCAATAAATCATAATGCAGGACTTTTTTTTAAAACGACAATCTTAATGGGTTTTTTTTCCCGTTCCCCCTTTTTTTTATGGTTGCTTCTTCCGTTAAGTGGCTGAGGAAAAGTTGATTGCAATGTCAACCTAATTACTGGTAACGACAAATAGTTGAGTTATCGACAAGCTAGCCTCTGGTCAACACAATCCAGCCACCCTTCACTTGTTAAACAAATCTCAAAGTCGATGGACAATGAAAAGTTGTGTTGGTCCTTTAAATAAACTCGCTTTTCAATTAAACCGAGCGGTCCTGCTTTCCGCAAACACAGAACATTTGCAAACCCATTATTTGAACATCTTAACGAGGGAATGTTAAAAGAACGCTATATTGCCGCGGCGAGGTGTACCTAACATTTTGAAGCATATTTACTTTCCCCAAACAAAATCTAATATTCTAAACAGATTTTATTTACATCAGTGTGGCTATGATTTCTCAATTAGCCTAAATCCAGTCAGAGATTTAGCCATTTGCGTCAGGATCGAGGGGATTTTTCCGAACGTTGCATACACATACATAGGCATTGCATATAGATGCGAACACTTTTTCTCGCTGGTGTTGGATTTTAAAGGGTGAGAAAGGATATAAAAAACCTTATCTTTTTTCTGACTCGTCGTTGTAAGGTAACAGTCAAATTAAAGTCAGTTAGTGTTGGCTTTGGAATATCTAACATCCATTTATTATTGGAAAAGGTAAAAAGATATCTATTTATAGTTCTCAGCGGAGTGATGATCGTAAATCCGTTAAAAAGTGCGATTTGCATCATTCCAATAGGAAGGGAGGACACTTGATTTGAATTGAAGTTTGTTTGCAGGTAGACTTAAAAGGATAAACATCTTCAAAAGTTATCAGGCGAAGACATAAATGTATTATTACACTGTTATATTAGAACCACGTGGGATATGGGAGGAATTAATACGAAAGTATATTGATTTTTGATGCTAATAAATCCAGGACAGAAAGAAAAAAGTTCGTTATAATACTTAGATATACAGTTGGGATTTTTTCTCTCGTCATGTCGAACACATATGAAAAAATTCTAAACGTGATATCCAAGCCACCGGCTTTCCGACAGGACTTTGAGATCCAGACACTGATGCCATGGCTCCGAAAACAGTCACAGTTGTTCTCACAACTCAAAACAGGTAGGAAAATCTGGTGGGGATACATTCAGCTCGCAGTAAATTACAGGTGTCAAGGGTATAATTTCTCGAAAATTATTCAAAAGTTTGTGTTGATTGTAATATTTTAATTTACTGGGTTTTAGTTTTTGATATGAAATTCAATATGATAAGTTGTGATATTGTATAGTTTATATTTTCACTCACCCATGCAGAAAAATAAATTACAATATAAGTCTGAGGTAGGCGAACCCTTGCTTTAGATATAAAAGAAACGGTAATAAAATCGTGTATTAAATAATGCCCAATAACAGATGAATATAATATCTTAATTTCTTTAACCTTTGTTGTATTGCAATGTGGTACATGCCTGTTTTAGAGCAAATGAATGTAAGCATTGATTAAGTTTGATTTTTGATTTTAAAGGCAGTATAATGATATATCACTTTTCTATTTAAATATATTTTTTGTCTTTTTCGCTCGACACATTTTATTATAATGTACAAAAAAAATTCCGAATATATTTGCCTGATCTTTAAAGGGATTGCAATAAGCAAAATTACATTTTGAAAATGTAGTACCACACCTTTTAACCCATTAGATGACAAAGATTGACAGATTATTACATCCAAAAATCAATGGACAATTGGATGACTAAAAGTGTACCCAATTACCATTTGTTCAACAGTCATAAACATTCATTCCAAAAATGACCATTAATGACCTGAATAAATAATTCTTTTACATTAAAAATAAAGGAACAAACAGACCCCGAACTCAAAACAAAACCTTCCGACAAATAATGGAAGTGTAATAGCGTACAGGATGCCAAACCCTAGACGCTTTTGTATACATATGTTTGAACTTAAAACTCTCTTCATTGCTGTGTATATGTAAAATCAAAACTGGGACCTTTCCTTGTTACGATTTAATTTTATAACAATACTTTGACAAACAGAATGTGATTCTTTGATGTATTGCCTTAAACCTCAAACCAGAAGACACTTTGAGTTCGTTTCTCTGTCCCGTTCCTCCACTCGTAAATCCGGCACTTTGTCGACACGAGTGTTTGTTATTTCCACGCAAATTGAAATCAATTTAAGATCTTTGTCTCAAGCGATAAAAATTTAAAAGACCCCGCTAAGGTTTCATTAGTTCAAGTGTGTCGTTTATGGAAAAGGTATAGGGTTGAAATAGCATACATAAATTTCTGGAAAAGTGTTTTCATGTTTAAGTCAAAAGAGAATTGACCATAAATATCCAAATGCCCTCGATTTCAAGTGTTTTGGTTTTTAAAAAAAAATTCGACAATATCGAGCATAAATTTTGTCACCTATTTCTTACTGACATAAAGTACTGTTGTATATCTTTAAGATTATTCTCGATTACCATACGTAAATGTATATGTAAAATATTTTCATCGATAGCTGACCCGTTATTTTTGCACAGAAAAGTATTGCATAAATTCGATTGCAAAATTGCAAATTTTGAATAAACACATCTAAGGAAAACTTCTCAAAGTTCCTAAAGTAGCATACTCGGTCTGAAAATAATTGAATCAAAATAGATTTTAAGTAAAATTGTTCTGTTCCGTGTACAGTCCCCACTTTTTTTAACATAGAGAAAACTAGACAGGAAAATAAAAATCGAACGAGCTTTAGAAAGGATAAAGAGAATCGCAGAGAAAAGACACGTTTCATAAAATTAATGCATATTTTATTACAACTACATTACATTTCATTAAAGTTTAATAGCGGGTGAGGTGAGGCTTTTTGATCGTATGAAATTCTGTCAATGCCTGCCTGACAATTGATAACAAATGTGTTGAAAAATCACTGATCTGAGTAAAATTGCTATGTACTTTATTGTTGTGATTGGACATCTTTATGGTGTTCTCCTGCCATCTGTTAAAACATTCTTCCCGAGTCAGAATACGTTGTTTGGATGTCAAGATGTTGTTATGTCAAGAAATATGAAAGGAAAGAAACGGTGCGCACAATAACAAGAAAATGATCCCCTTAATCTACATGTTTCCAGCATTCGTGTCTCTATTTTGAAAGATGTCTCTCAAAAGTCAACAAACACCGCGTCTGATCTATCTAATTAAGGATAAGAAGATCACTGATAGAAAAACAATTTATAAAAGATAGGTATGTTTGTCCGAAAGACACAAGAGACGTAAATTGGAGTGCAAGAGTTAAACCCTCAAGCCAGGGAATGATAAATAGGGTGTTTATGTTGCACATTGTAATATATACCCAAGTAGTGAAAACAATTTTAACAAAAAACAAATATTTGTCTTGCAAGATGAATTCATGTGTTATAGATAATATATTGAAGTTGAATATTTGGGCTGAATAAAAATAAAGAAAACATATTTGTTTTGCAACCTTTATTATATAAGTAAATAATCTTTTTCTCGAATGAGCTCGATGTCGGCGCCACATTTGATGGTCCTTTATTGAAATTAACACGAGGAATGAACCAGAATCATCTCAGATAGCAATTATAGAGATATGTGAAATAAATTGAAAAAAAAAAAGAATTTCCGAAAGAAAAATTCAGCAAAATCTTCATATTGGTTAGTTTCTGAAAAGTCAGATAGATCTTACATTAAATGATTCATCAATATATATATCTAATGCATGTGATAGGTTCCCGTAAATTCGCATGTCGCCATTTCCACTAAGTTTTTTTTTTCCTAATCGAATTTTAATTTTTTTTTCTTATCAGATTGCATTTTTTTTCTAATGACGATATAACATTACTATTACGTAACGAAGTAAAGCAATAAGTTAAAGAGAAATCAAGAAACAAGGGGTCACTTTTCATCATGCTAGTTTTGTGTGAGAAAAGTCTACGAATAAGTGAAGGTCAGTGGTTTGTACATGCATTCACCTTGAGATATGTTTCGTTGCAAGTTAATGTAACTAGAGTATATCTACACAAATTGGCCCTCTTAACTTTAAACATTAAAGATCCTCCAAATCCTTACAAAAATTAAGCCCTAATATCGAAAACATAAAATCCCATGTCTTTAGCATTTTATGACTGGTCATAAAAAGTCTTTAAGGACGTTAGAGGGACTATATGATATCATCTTTTGAACTTTAAGGATTTGTGCTGACATATTAATTTTCCCTCACGATTGCACACTCTAAAACCCAGCAGAGACGTTTGGTATCTAACGTTATCGGGGAGATTTCCGAAGTCCAAAGTCATGTGTAAAATTTCAATATCTTTTTATTTATGTAAACGATAACACTACTCTCTAGACATATACGCAGTAAAATTACAATGCTTTTTAGACGTCATATATTTTTTAACCAGGGATAAGACTATACTTTGGCGTAATACTCAGTGTATCTAACGATTCTGCTCACATGGGTAGCTTTATTTTATGTGATAAGACCAATAAACTATATATAAAAGATCAATGAGTATATGTAATTATCGCTGAAGATAAACCCAAATTAAATATTAAGCTATATTCCTTAATACAACATGCACTGAGAGAAATATTAAAATCTGAATAAGATTTTTGAAGATCCTACCTAGACATATTCTTAAACAATGTGAACCCAATGTTGTCTTCATGTGAGATTGGGTTAGGTTTACTGCAATGAATTGCTTTAGATACATGCATGTTTGATATATTAATAAATGAGTATACCCATTCTATTTCAGAGTACTTGAAAGACATTCTAAGAAACTGCGGACAAGTTACTTTTAACAAAGATGACATAATAATCAAACAGGGAGATCAGGGGGATTGGTAAGTAGATTCTGTATTGCAACTCTGAAAATGAAATACAACGAAAAACAAAAACTAATAACGAACAAAAAAAAAAAAGAAATGAAAAAAACATATAAAAACCCCAGACAAGTTATACTTGGGCACAGAACTTCCCAAGGGAAGAAAAAAATATGTAGGCCCACTCAGTCACATTTAGGAGAATCGAAGAGTTGAAAAGATATACATTTGTATGTGAAAGAATGTTAGCCATTCAATGTAAAACTAATAAAAATTGTTAAAGAATGCTGGCGGAAAATATCACATGTACATTACGATCAGTCACAATAAAAAGTATTTTTCTTCAGGCAACTAAATTGAATTACATGTATTAATAAAAAGTGGGCATCAATATGGGCAAGCTACATGTAAATTTGGGACAGAATAAAGAAACTTCCAAATATTGAAGTCACAAATCCAGAATATTTTCTTAAAATATTTATTGTTTAATACCAGTCATTGATTCAAAAGAATTGAAAAATATGATTTCAAGTCTTGGTACATTATGTTGACCCATTTTTACAGAAGGGTCACCATTTTTAAGCATCGTACAAGTAGTCTGACTCTTCACGGTGTCCTAATGTTAGATTTTCGAGGGTTTTATGTTAGTTCTTATAGCTGTTTAGTTTAAAAGACCTTTCAAGATCTGCTCAAATATTTGTCTTCTTATTCACGACTCTCTACTTTCACCCTATTTACAAGGAATCGGTTTATTTTACGTTATGGAAAAAATAGACAAGAAATACGTGTAGATATCCAGTGTTGTACTTTTACTGTGCTGTGTAATACACGTTCATAGAACTGGTTGTTTACATTTTGAATTAATGGTATATAGTTCAGAAATAGTGACAGGTTATAGATATGTTTAAACTTCAAGATTTTTAAACTTTTAATGTAACATTTGCTGCGGGAATAAATCTAAGAAAAAATGATGCCAGTGAAAGACCTTGACCTTTCGAATATTTTCGATAATTTCTCTCACTATAATAATTCTCCAATTCTCAAAAGTATTTAAACTAAAGGTGGTAATTATATAGATTGAAAAGTACTCGTTATTTTTCTATTTGAAAAAATATGAAAAGAAGACAGACAAAGGAAAAGTACCATCAATTTAATAGGGTGTCTTAAATATAAGAATTTGTGCATTAACCACGGGTCATAGAGAAGTCATTCTTTTTTCTCAGATGATACATCAAAATTTTTAATCAATGACAAGAAACATTGCCTTCAATCATCACAAATGCACCTGTTCAACTCCTTTGGAATGGTACCACAAATAATGGGTGAAAAATTATTATCAAATCGTTAGAAAATTGACTGTCGCTATAAAAGTGAGAATGTACCTAAATTTCATGTATTTCAAATAAAAATATCCGCGTACTCCGGGGTAAATTCCAATAATGAAACATCGGTCATATGAAAGGATCAGAAACTGCGGAGGAATTAAAAAAAATCTAATGATCATTACACAGCAACTCAAAGCTAGAATAAACCCACCAGTGTGATTGATATTTACAGTCGAATTATCAAAACTTTGAAAATTAAACAGTAATCTTTGTTTCGGATATTTTTGGATCAATAGGAATAGGAAAGTTGAAATCAGTGATGCAAGTGTTTGAGTTAAAGTACATCATTGACTTAATTTTAAAGGTTAACTGAAAATAACGGGATCTTTTAACGTTTTATATTTGTTTTATAATTGAGTGCACATCGTACACCAGTAAATGATATGATCACCTAAGATTTGCTTTTGGGATCTGTATTGGGTGTCGTGTGTTGAATAACCGTAACAGATTAACGGTGTGTGAAATGTAGTTACAAGACCCTGATATGCTTTTTCCCTCAAATAATCCCGTACAAATTATAACAGATTTTTATTTACTAAAAAAGGCCATTTTGCCTGTGGTAAAAAGTAACAATTACGTGTACTAATTCTGATCTAGTCTGTTGATTTTTTGCTTTTAAAAGATTTCAATAAAACAAAGTTGGATTCAGTAAACCACAAGAACACACAAATACGCCAATTATGCTTAAAAAAAGAAAGAAAAGAAAAAAAAAAGAAGACATAAAGACGGTACAAAAAATATTAATGAATATCTTTAGAGCAATAAAACGAAACAAAAAGGCATTCTTTTGTCATTCTGTCTTTCAGTTTTTACATGATTCTGGGTGGCAAAATCTCAATCTACATCCTCAACAAGGAGAAGAATGAAGAGGGGGATGAGACAGTACCCCTTGACCAGATTGGGACCAGGAATGCCAAGGGACAGCTTGACAGGTCCAAATTAGGAATATTTGTCACCCATCTAGGTATTATGGCAAAAGCAATTTTATTCTTAATGGACCTACCTTTTATTTCAGAACATGGAATTATTCTATGCACAAATGCAGTACAAGAAGACAATAATTGTGTGGCATGCACCATTCTGCAATTTTCAGTGGTTTATTTTATTTTCTAGGAACGGGCGTTCCTTTCGGAGATGTAGCGTTAATGTCCGAAGACTGTGTCCGAACAGCCACGATTATTGCCGAGGAGGAAACGGATCTACTCGTGGTTGACCGAGCTCTATATAACAGAGCTGTGAAAGAGGTCCTGGCAAAAGAATACGAAGACAAAGTGTCTTTCATTAACAATAACCCATTGTTTTCTGCTTGGCCTCCCAGATACAAGAAACAACTCACAATGGCGATGTTTAAGGAGGAATTCACTTATAATACAACTCTAGTCAAACAGGGAGATCCCGTTGATATTATTTACTTTCTAATCAGGTAAAATAATTCAAAACACTCATAAAAAAATCGTCCTTTATTAACAAACAAAAAAGTTAATCCAAAGTAGTACGTAAGAAATTTGAGATTCCGAGCCATCACAGGCTTATTTCTCTATCTTAAAGGACTCAGTTTACTTATTATATATTTTTCCAGATTGATACAAGTTAAATAAATCATTTATTAATCAAAGATTAAAGGCAATATGCTTACTGTATTTTTATTCATTTTCAGAGGTCACGTAGAGCTGCGCACTGACCCCGCAATGCATCCGGTACAATACCCAAAAATCTACCTCGACACCATGAATGAAGGTGAAAGGTAAAAATCAAATACACACAATTAGTAGGACAGGGTAATGAAAACAGTTGTATGATAGCTGTGTTTCTACCTGGTATTGCAAAAAAAAAAAAAAAAAAAATTAAAACTTCATTTCAATATATATCATTATCTTTATGTACAGTAAACAGCGTTTACTAACCATAAAGAAAACAAAACACACAGTTGGTTTTTCTTACAGTAAAATAGGATACGTTAAACAATGGTTTAATTTTTAGTATGCTTTCTGGGCCCTACAAAAATCACCAAAAAATGTCGATTAAAAGGTATTTTACCATGAGACAAATGCTATCTTTTGATGCGAAATTTACGACGTTAAACAAATAAAAAGGAGAAGTTAAGAAGCTGAAATTGCATTATAAAGCCTATCTAATTCTCTGACGATGAATTGAAAATTCAATCAACGAGCTTGCGAATGGTGTAAAATCTCAGAAACTCTGCAAAACCTCGGTCACTATTGATTAAAATTGCTTGCACTTCGGTTGTCCTTTGGATTATACTGTTTACATCCTTGAATTGGTCAAATAATTATTTTCTTTTATATGTCCGATGCTTTTAGAAGTTATGACACCATAAAACGTATCCAAGCAACTCCATGTTTACCCATCTGTCTAGCTGTTATATATAGAACATTTGAAGATCATAGGAAATAATTGCGAGGAGAAAAACCAATCCATTTTATTTCCGTTAATGATAAACTCATCATGCTTCGTCGTTTGGTAGTTGTAGATCATTATTAGTCCCCTACCAGTGAAACCGGAGGGGACTGTAGGTTTCCTCTGAGTCTGTCCGTCCGTCTGTCTGTCTGTCCCACTTGGTTTTCCGCACTTTTTTCCTAAACGCTTGCAGATATTGAGCTGGTTTTTGTTATGTGAGTGTATCTTGATGAGTAACAGATCAAGTTTGCATTTCGTTCCGCTTCATTGATTTTTGACGGAATTACGGCCTTTTCAATTTTTACGGGTTTTCCACAATAATTTTCTTCTAAACGCTTGTAGATATTGAGCTGATTTTTGGTATGTGGCTTTACCTTGATTAGTTATAGATCAAGTTTGCATTTCGTCCCGCTTCATTAATTTTTGACGGAATTATGGCATTTTCAATTCTTAACGGGAACGGAACCAGATTACACTTGCCGGTAGGGGACTAGTATTGCTAATGCAATACTCTCAGAATGCTTGTTAGCTTTGTTTATTTCTTTTGAACTGCAAATTTAAACCTTTCTAGATTTGAAGATCAATATTTTTTTTACTTACATTGTATTAGAAGTGCAGTAATAGAAATGAAGTGTAAAACACTGGAATATCGAGATTTTCGAATACTGAGGACTATTAATAAGGACTTTTTCAATCAATTTCACCCCTTCATTGCATAAAAAAATTATTGCTATACCAGAGTGAAATTCTGGTTTGTTGCATTTACTCTAATAATACTGAGGTTTACAGTAAATACGAAACAACAAACTTTACAACAGGTGATAATTCGACAATTAAATACATGCTAAATGTAAGTCTGAATTCCCATCCCCGAAGTTCCGCAGCAGCTAGAAACAGTTCCTATAAACTTAATAGTATTTTGCATGTTCATTAATTTTTTTTATTTTATATTTTGTCAGACTGATAAAACGTGACAAAGTTAGACCCCCTACGGAGTCGCATTATAACATTAGTACTCACCTCAGGAAAAAAGACCACCATAAGCACGTCAAAATGTTTCTGCTTGGCAAGAACGAAAGTGTAGGTAGGTCATGCACAAAGCACACTTCAATCAATGTATGCGTTTGTTTTGTACAACTAGGATTATCTATAATTGCATCTTGTACATTCACAATTTCTTACATATATAGATGTCAGTTGTAAAATTTTAATGAAAACTTTATTTTGTTTAACATACATTGTAATAACAAATAAATTTCCTTACCTCATTTTTATTCTGGTTGATTTTCAAATCAGTAGTTGCATTTTAATAAATTCCACTTAACTGAATTTTAATTACATTGTTAGAATTGTTAGAATATTCGATTTCGTACAAAATTTCAACAATCTGAAATTTCTGACTCGGTAACTTTTTTTTTGGTATATTTCAGGGGAACTGGAAGTACTTCTGGGAATGGATACTTACATGCAGACGGCAGTCTGCACGGAGAAGGTGGAAGTGTTAGTTTTAGAAATGAAGCATTATGAAAGACTTTTTGTGAAGCGACATCCCAGGACTATAGACGACATGAGAAGAATTCTGGAAGTTAAACTAGAGACACGAATGAAACTTCTCTCTAATAAAACCGAAATACCTTTTCTTTCTCGTGTGAAAACAAAATTAAACATGATTAATAATCCACAACCTGTGGTGAAAAAGGAAAAAGATCTTCCATCGCAGAAAATGGCAGAGAAAGAATTTCTTAATCATAAAGGACCTCTCATTGACATGTATGGTCCTGGGAGTGTGTTCTATATGATACGCGTCCGTGAAAAAACGAAAGTCAAGGGATTCGGTTCCAGAGAGAAAAGGAAACCTAAACATATCAATAAAGATTCCAACGAAAATGAACATTTGCATGCAATCAAGGTCCCACAAACTTTAGTGCTCGCTGCCCAGATGGCAGGGGCCACAAAAGATAGGGAAGTGCTCGAACGTGAAACCACTACCTCCATACAAGCCCCCAGTTCGAAGGGGAATCCCCTGGGAGCCAAGTCTTTCCGAAGGATACAAAGTGCAATCAAACCAGACGAAGAACCAATGAACACAAATTTAGATAGTTTTGAATTTGATGACGACAAAGAGACAAGTAGGTCATGGCCGCATGAGACTCGTTATGGTACCACTGTGTCCTTCATGGATGCTGAGGATGACGTCAGCTTGTCAAGACTGGAAAATAAAGTTCGAAATTGGCTGAGCCACGGCAATCCCAAAAGTGGTCCTCAAGTGACTCAGCTGCGACGCCTTGCGGTGGAGGTATGTATTTTAAAACATATTATTAGTGTTTTGATTTCAAATAATCCTGCCAATATGTCAAATTGTTTTAAGGGGATTATCATTTGACTTTGAGGCTCTTTGTAATTGACATATACGTGTTGGAGATTATAAATGTTATCAAAATAGTTTAAAGTGTTTGGTCTTAAATTATTTATTAAAGAAAACTAAAAGATTTTGAATTCTTAACATCTGAACAAAATAATCAAGGACATCCTAATATGATTAAGTGTATATTAACCTCTTTATATATGCTATAAACAAAGCTATTGACCAAGTTATTGTTTTGAAAGGATCTGGAGAACACACCTAAACCAGGAAATAGGGTTGTTGTGCACAAGCGCAGTCGGTCTACCCATAGTTCCAGTAGCGGAAATGAAGTGGAGAGCACAGCTTCCAAAAAAGAATCGCCCCGACAGGAAGAGAAATTCGACAAATACCGAATACTCCTCGCTCACTAGTTTAGCTAGCCAAAAAGATATTTATACTTGCTCTTTTATTTTATACACCTGTTTTCGTAATCATTTATGCTGTGTAATAAAAAGACACTTTATTTTTATTACTTTTCTGAGGTAAACTAAATTGCCTAAATGCAACATAAGTGCCAATGAAAGTTTTCATTTTATTGAACAAATTACATGTGTAAATAAATCTCCCACATTTTTATGTAAAGTTCTATCCTTTCTTTCACTTGCTTTAAGAGATGTATTTATACAGAATTAAATACAGTTAAACTTTCTTTTGTATATCTCTTAAATTTTTTAGATGAACATTTTGGTATTTATACTTAAAAGTTGAAACCAGTATAGAATTGGAAAGGAGACGTGCGAAATCTTTAGCTTTATATTCCTTTTTTTAATGATTCGCACTTTTATTGGGTTTTACTATTACGTCTGAAAAAATGGAACAAAATATTTTATTATCGTAACATATATATTTATAACATGCAAATAAATTACTTTTACGTACATTTACATACACAAAAAAATTCAAATTTACAATGTATACAATATGATCATTAAATGATAAGCCCTGTAAACATTAAATATAATACTGTTTTCATAATACTATAGTTCTGAAATCAAATATATTCAGTATATAAATGTTTCATAAATTAATCTCGGTAGCAAACATGACTGGGAAATCATGATGAAAATTTTTGTAAATATGATTTGTACGATTACATGCCATTCTGAAATGTGATTGCGTTGTGTTGTATTCCGGAAAAGCTTATTTAGCTTGATATTTTTTGCTTGAGTGCGTTCTCCGTACTGTGTCCAAAAGTTTTGCCGTATCGGAACTTTTGACCTACAATAACAGAATATTTTTAAGTTTAAGAGGTACAGCAGAAATAAAGCAATCATTATTTAATACATCTGAAAAAAGGAAAACTAAAGAAGCAAATGGCCTAAACTGAGTATGTTCATAAGCAAGAAAAGCAATTTTAGGAAAAACATTGATCGGTTTGGAAAAGAAATCAAATAAGAAGAAGAAAAGGCACTTTGCTGTACACATATAAGCTTTTAACTATACTTCTCAAAATCTGATAAATTTTAACCATTACATAAGTTACACAAATACTTTTTCATTTATATCTACAGGGCATTTGAATTTTCTTGGATAATAACGGTAAAGTTCCCTTAAATAATTTTAGAATATGAATAAAACAACTGGACTTACCTGGAATATGACCTGTGTAATGTGGAACAAGACCAGTTTCCACTGGGTAAATAGGTCTACCATCTACCATTTGAGTGGCGGATCTATCAATATTAACGCTCTTTGAAGCCTTAACAGACTGAGATCTGAGATCGTCTGTGAATTCATTGAGAGCTAGGTGTGTTATGATTGGATAACCCATTCCTAGCTGACCACGGCTTCTTGGAACAAATCCGGTGTAACCTGCATAATCGGAAGGCTTTTGTTTTTAATGATATAACTCATGAACTACATGTTCTAAACTTTTTACTACAGGTACATTTTAACTTCTTCACTATAATCAAAAGTACATATGTGACAATATCCTTCATATCAGATAAGAGGCTGTAATAGAACCACCAGTGTGGCTCCCAAATGATAACTTGGGCTTTTACAATGAAAGGTGATGTCTTCCTTTAATTAGCACAGGTCTGTTAAAAAATCATGCAAAATAGCTATAAAAGTTAATTCTAATGGTTCTCAGAATTCGTTGATTTTCCAAACATAGATTTCTCTGGCATTTTCTTCATGAAACTAACTTGTGTAAGTGTCAAAATTATGAATTAGGGAAAACAGGCTAGGGATGATCCGTGGATCAAAATACGTGTAAATTTTATACTTATTACATGAATCCACTTTTTCTTATATTATGTATGTTCAATGAAACCCTCATTTTTTATTCTTGCCCCAGTAGGGAACCATTGTTTTAACAAATTTGAATGTAACTACATCTGCATGGCCATAGGACCCGGGGGAACTCCCCCCCCCCCCCCCGCCAATAATTTTGCCGATAGAAAATCGAGCTACTTTATGCTTGTGCACCCTCAATAAAAACGTCTGATGACCTTTTTTGGTTGATAGTGCCCCCTCAACTGAAAATGTATTGCTGTGCCCCCCCCCTCCCCCAAACTGAAATTGCTTCCTACGGGCCTGATAATGCTTGCATTTTCAGTTTTACTGTTCTTACTAGTATGAAGATCCCTATTGTGGTCTGATCCTTTTCCCCCTGGGATTATGAATTGAACAAATTTGAATTTCCAAACCATGGAGATGCTTTTTCTAAAATAGTTGGACAAATTGTACAACATTGTTCTTTAAAAAAGACTTTCTTGGCATTTTATTCCTTAGTGAACATGACTATACATCTGAGTAAAACTTTCACCACATATTGTGGCCCTATCCCTCTCCCTGGCCTAACAGTTCTGGAGAGGAATTCGGAAATGTTTAAAGTTCACAAGATGCAACGGACGACGAGAGTGGAAAACAGAAAAGCAACAGGTTACTTTATAGTGTCCAAGAGGACTTTTATTACTGAAATAGAAAGTATTACTTAGAATCTTATAGTAATTACCTTACCTGACATAAAATTCTTCCTAGTATCGTTATTATCTAGATAATAAGGTGACAATGGCTGAGAAATCGCGTGTTTGGAGACGAAGGGTTTGGGTTCTCTGGCAATGGGTTGTAAGGGGGTCATATACCTGCTGCTTATTTCCTGAAAGAATGCATTAGGCAAAAAATACATATTTAGAAAGAGTTATTGAATTTAATTGCATCGAAGAGTTATTTTTTTTATTATGAAATATAAAGTTAACGAACAGTGATCGTGCTCAAAAGTCGAACGAAACAATAGAAATTAGAACAGAGCAAACACGAACTGAGGTGGGTACAAGTGACATGGAGGAGTAAGCATCCCCTTTTGACTGGTTGCTGAGCTTTTTATTTTGTTTAGGTACTGGAAGTATCCAATGTAAAATTGTATTTCATTCCACCTAGGTTAACTAGGTAATTGTACCGAAAATAGAATTTGTGAAATGTTTGAATATTTTTGATATCCTTGTAGCATCAACTTATTTGTTAGAGGGTGCCTCGGTTTAGAAATTGGTCGTAAGCAGAACATGCTCGTGCGTGTCGATCGAATCAACTGGAAGACAAAAATACCTTATCTAAGTTCCGGTTCTATGTCTTTCAACCCTTGTGCCTACATATTTTAAAGTTTACTCCTATCATTATGAGACAAAGATCTTGTATTTAGATAAACGTAACATCGAGAAAACATCTGGCATTTATGTCATTAGCATTAAGCATAATACATGTATTAATAGATAATTGGTGAACCAGCATTTTAAAAATATAACTAATTTGCAAAAATTTGCGAAACATTTTCTCTGTAGAATCGACATACCGGAAGTTTTTGTGAGATCCCCGGTGCCACTGGACTTCCGGATTGAATAGCTGTTGTAAGTTTCAGTTCGTTCATCTTGTGTTGGTGAGCTTGCTGATCTATCTCGAAATCTATGATGGCATTTCTACTGTTTAATGCATACCGCTTCCCAAAATAGTGTTGACCTTTTGGTATAAAACCTATTAAAAGATTAATTTAGAAAATTAAAATAACTAAAATACATTAACATTAATTTTTAACTTTAATATATTTTTCAAAATTAACTGTACCAAATATTTGGTTTTCCTTCATAAGTAATTTTATGTTTTTCAAGAAAAAGAAATAATTTTACAATATTGTGCATCAGAACTCGTTACCCGTGTATCCCGGAACCATATTTTCCACTAGTTTTTGGTCTCCCCAGCTCTGGGTCCGTTTCTGTAATAACTTGGAATCGGATTCTGGTTTTGGGGTGATGTCTGCTAGCACTAATTTACCCGAGCTCGCCACCCCGGGGTTTCTCAACAAGTTACAAGTGGTTCTACCAAAGGTTTCCCCAATCTGGTATTTAAACTGGGGACAAAAACCACCATATCTATAACAGAGAGTAAAACTGTTATTGTTTGTTTTGTTTTACAACTAAACGACAAGATTAAGATAAGCCCCTTAAACGCTAAACTTTTAAAGCCCTGAAACAATAGGTTAAAGACCAATTATGTAATCAATATGCAGAGCGCAGAATGTATGTGAATTTTTGACAACTTTCCATATCACTGGATTTCAGTTAAATGAATATACCCCTTACGTTTTTGAGCAAAGGTACATCATTCTTAAAACCGTTTACAAGCCTACAATTTGATAAAGCCTACAAAATGATAACTATGGGTTTTAAACAGGTGTAATTACTTGGCATTTAAAGAAATTATCTTTTTATGCTGACACTAATGGACAAAAAATATATACAAAGCTATATAAAGAGCTTTAATTTCTGTAAAAACAAAATGTTCTTCATGGTATACATGTACATGTGAATTCTATGCATATATAATATCAGCAATGCTTTCACAAGAAACTCAAGTTTGCTTGCAATCATTTTAAATCTCAAATTTAATTGCATTCATAAAAAAAATGATATACATGTATATAAATTGAACAACACCAGTATACTCTAAGGTAAGAAGAATATTTTCATCATCTGAAAAGGGGGTTTCTGTTTATGCAGCCGCAGTGTATTTATTTATATAATGCAGTAAGAATTTTTTAAGGGGGGTCTATAAATTAAATTTCTATTAAGTATCTGAACTACTTTTTCGTAATATATTTTAATAGGAATGAAAACGTGTATATCATGCAATACCAAAGGCAGTTATTTTGTTCAATAAGATACACAAAAAAGAATTTTACATGAATGTTTACACTTTCCAAGTATACATTTTATAATTCGAAAGACGGCATATTTAGTGCAATAATTTCTTAATTACAAAATTTAATGACAAAACAAGTTTAGCTCAAAAAAAAAAATTAAGCAAAATTTACAAGTGATATACAGTGTATTAATTGCTGTTCTCATGGGGTCTTTGTAAGGGTAAACAGTAATTCATCAGTGTGTGTAGTAGTGACAATATTACATTTTTTTTTAAAGCAAACCTATATAAGACTAATTCAGCTTACACAGTAAATAAAATGGTAATTTAATTGACAATCAAATGAATCATCTTATACATTTATACTTTTTTGTATCAACGAGAAGAATTATTTTTTTAGTTACTTAATAAATTGATAAACTAGGATGGTAAACAAGCAAATTCAAAGAATCGTGGTTCCCTGCTTTTGGTGTCTTGGTATTTGGGATGCAATTATTTATGACATATTGTAACTGTCTTATCTGTATGTCTTTGAAACTTGTAGGTCAAGGTCATGAAGTCAAAAATGATATACTTTTGTGAAAGATGTTGTAATTGGTAATGTACATGCAAAATATGAAAATCCTATCCCTCTCAATCAAAAGTTATTACCAAAGTAAAACAAAAATGAAAAAGATTGTAGGTTTAACTTTAAGGTCAAGGTCTTGAGGTCAAAAACCAAAGTACATCGGAAAGGTCTTGAAACTAATATTGCACATGTCAAATATAAAATGCCCTATCTTTCTCATTCAAAAGTTATCAGCACTGTTAAAATTTTTGAAAATTAGGACAAACTTCAGTCAAATAGTCATTGTACAATTGGAAACGTCGTGTCAAAGGTAATGCACATATCAAATAATGCCCTCTCTTCTTTTCGTATAAAGTTTGCAGCAATGATTTTTTTTGTTTGGAAAATTAGGTCAGACTAGAAGGTCAAGACCATGGGGTCAAATATCATACCACATTTGGAAACTTTGGCACTAGTACAAAATAAACACCCTCTCTTCTCTCATTCATAAGTTATCACCAAAGTTAAAATATTTTTAAAATAATTAGGTTAAGCTTCAAGGTCAAGGTCACGGAGTCCAAAGTCATAGTAAATTTTGAAAGGTCCCGTCACAGGTAATGTACATTTGAAATATGAAAGCCCTATCTATTCTCATGCAAAAGTTATGACCAAGGTAAAAGTTTTCGTGACAGACCACAGACTGACAGATGGACAGACAGCTAAACTGACAGACAGACAGACAGATTAACAGACTGGCAGATGAATGAGATTTAAAGTCCCCTCGCTTTCGCGAAAGCGGGGAACAATATTACGTATACAGATATCTCTATATTAATGATATTCAAAGAATCACACCCGCCAACTACAAGTATCGTTTTTTTTTTCTTTTGTTTTTCTTTCTTTTTTTTTTAATAGATTCAATTTTTAGTGAACAAAATTATTTTTTATCCTATTGTATGTCGTGTTACTTTAGTAACTTTACAAGCTTTCTTATCATTAAACTCCCGGTAAAATTATATGCTTCCATTCCAGCATAAGCTACTGACTTCCCCATGAAAAAATTCTCTTATGAATGGAGTTTACAGAAATATAGATAAATTCAATATAAGAATAAATTATATTTTTTATAGGTAGAACTTTTTCGTTTTCAACAAAAAATATAAATATTAAAACACACACACACACACGCATAAAACAAAGTCTAGCTCTATTTCGCATTCCACCCAGACAAAATCGATGTTTAAAAAAAAAAAAACCTTTTCTCCCGCTGAGTTTATTGAAGAACGTACGAAAGTCTATTGAATTTTTTTAATGCAACGTATTTGAATGTTAAAATTTGAATGAAAGGAATTAGATTTGTTCTCATGAAAGATATTGATTTCAAAACCGAGAGCAATCGAAATTAATACAATCTGTTTCCCTAAGCCTTTTTTTTCATTCAGTGTGCACCGCAAAATAAGTCAATACGCATAACGGTGGCTCAGTCAATAGGTCATTTATACTTAATTTGCTAGTTAAACATCTGCTTAAAGAAAAAAAATAAATAACTAAGTGAAAACCATATTTCAATATTGCCATATCATTTTTGCTATTTCTAAGTCTTATTTACAAATTACTGTGTGTACTTTGTACTATGATAGCCATTCAAATGAAACAAGTTTTTCGATATATAGATTCACGTGGACAATTAATCTTGGAAAAAGCAATAAAACGATCGTTAAATTTATATTTGAAAATTTTATTTAAAAAAAAACAACAACAACAATATTTTGTTAATTAGACATAGATCTTACGTAAACATTCTTCTCACTGTGATTTAAATCTCTTCAACAAAGACCACCTGCTTTGATTTTTGCATTTTAAAAACCCCCATTCACTTTTCCGTACACAGAAGTTTGAGCATTCAGTATAGTTCAAAATATTGTGCGCAATTCAGTAATTCTTCATTACATTGCAACATGGTAAAAAGAAAATTCTGCTAATTAAACGCCGTTGTTTAAGAATCAATAACTAGTCTTACCCTGGTGTGTGATATGGGTCCGGGGTCATCAGAATGCTTTTTCCAATTGGCATGATTGCGTTCGTAAATTATTCACAATATTTTATTCCTGTTTCCCGGTTTATGCGCTAAAACACCGAGTATCTATGGAACAATCACGTGACGTCACTGATTGTGTCGTAAGACGTCTACAAAATTAGTACAAAATCGTGTGCACGACAAAAACCGCACGATTAGATATCCTCAAGTCATACAAATTCTAAAAGCCTGGCGACTTTCACTTCTTATTATATTGGCTGATTTACTAGCTTATGAATTATAATCATTATTTTAGGATTTTAAAAAGATGCACAATATTCAGTGTTCATGGCGCTTGGTTTATTTTTGACGTTAAAGTGTAATAATCCATTGTGTTTGTGCAAATCACGCCGAAACTCTCCGATATAAATCAATTAGATTATAAAGATAAGATTTTTATATACCTCTGCATGTGTTCTTAAAATCTTGACTGCCACATTAAAAATTGTAAATTCCGTTAGCACAGATACACTACTTCGATCAAAAGGTTTAATTAGATTTATTTTTTCTTTGGATCCAACAGTATTTTTTTTTCCGCGGATCAATATTAATTAACTATAGAAAAAAGCCATATTCCTGAAGTTGAAAGTTTAAAAAAAAAAACAAAAAAAAAAAAAAACAAAAAAAAAACTATCATTCTAATGAAATATAATTTTTTAACATTTGAATGTCTACGTACATTATATATGATAAAGATTTAAAATAATACAGGAGATAGTTGTATATATCGATGTACATTTCTGAATGATGCGCGAATGAATGAAAGCGCTTACAACAGACATTATTGCTTCTGCTGACAAATAAAATGACATGGCAATGTTTTAGTTCAAACTAAAACAAGTCTTAAAAATCATTTTGTTAATGCGTACTGTACGGATCATATTTACTGGTATTATAGTTTTAAGACTTTTAAATATTTTCTTAAAACTCTCACTTACATATTCTTACTTTTCGGGGGTAGTTTGTTTTCTTTATCTTTTTTTGTAAAACTTTTAATCAATTACATTGTAAAATCCACCCCCACCCCGCCCCCACCCTTCAACTTTTTTCCTCCGAAATGGTTCCAGTTCTTGTCTTGCAGAAGTCTTTCAAATCAGCTTCACGAAGAGCGATATAGGTATCTGAGGAATACAATTCTAATATGAAAAAAAAATCAGACACCCATAATAGAGATTATTTGAAATGACACAAGCCAATTAATGTACGTAAGAGGGTCGGGCAGTCGTTGTCATCTTTAGTCTGCATCATCCAGACGTTTGCGTTTACATTCACACGTCTGGATTATGCAGACAATGTCATTATACAAAAATGGCTTTCAAATCAATTTCACAGTTGGCTTAGTAGAAAAAAAAACAGCAAATGTAAATATTAGACCACATAAAACTCCTGGAAAAGAATATCTCTGAAATTGCATTAAATATTATACATTTAACATTTTTATCTTTGTGAAATAATACTTTATGGCTAGAAAAATCACTTAATATTTTTCTTGTAATCTGTGGGTAATTTGTTGACCACCCAATCTCCTTAAAACTTTTTGGTGACTAATGATACCAGGGGATGATACTTTTTGATGTGAGCTGAAATGGAAGATTGATATTTTTAATATATGTGTTACTTTAAAAGTTTAAATCTAAAGTTTAAACTTATCTATAACTATAGTTAAAGATGAGTTTAAACTTTAGATTTAAACTTTTAATGTAACATATATTGGTCATATCAATTCATACAATACTGATATCTTTCCAAACATTGTCTAAATATTTACAAAAAGAGTTTCTTGTGTTATACTTAAAAAAAAAAGAAGTTTTTTTTTATCTCTTAGACCTTAATAAACATTTTCTAGACGTGATGCTCGGGTAGGGAGTTCCAGGTATGAGAACAAAGGCAAGATTTTTCAACTTTTCTTATGATTTTCATATAAATGTACATGATGTATAATATATAAATCAACTTTGCTTTGCATATGCGATTACCATATGAAATATGGATTTGTTTTTTTCGAAAATTGGCTAGATGACCTTCTTTGTTTCCTGAAACAAAATGATTCTTTTTTAAAGTTAATGAAAATTTGTGAAAGTTCGTAAATTGCACAGTCAATTGACATTCAAAGGACTGTTATGTATGATATTACTTAAACACCAATTAAACCTTATTTTGAAAGAGTACATGTATTAATCACAGTAGTTGTTTTATTGTATTGTTCCAATAGTCATCTTTAAAAAAAAAAATATTACACTTAAGAACAGTCAAAGCTTGTTATATCGAACCCGACAGAACCGATATTATATTTCGAAATATCCGAGGATTCGACATGAAGTATTTTTGTTCTTTGTGTATGATGAAAGGACAGACAGACAAGATCAGGGTTTTTCTTTGCAATTTTGCCAAAAGATAAAACAAATTTATAGACCCTATCGCCTTATATCTATCTTACCATATTAAACACAATTTTTTGTGATCATTTTAATTTTAATTAATATTGAAAGTCCGTTCTTCAATTAATGGAGGACAATGGAATATTAAAAAAAAAAAATCCCTGATAAACAAAGGTCTTTGGATTAAAAGAACACTCCATTAGTTTCCTGCATGGTCACTGAACTTAATATATACATGTACAATGTTTTCAAATCTATATCTAATTGACAAGAAAAGAATTTACACAAACAAACTACATATTCTGTAGGATTTACGTATATGTTTTTATTATTTGTCTCTATCTTTCCCAGCTAGTATCTGACTGGCTCAAACTACCGGTCAAACTACTTGTGGAGTAGACTTTCACCTCTAAAACCTCCTCAGGAAAAACTGGCTCTAAAGTAGTATTTTTCCCGGGAAAATATTTGGACCCCCTTCCACGGAAAAAAATGACTCTAGAGTAGGATTTCTCCTATGGAAATTCCACACCAAATTCAAATTTCCGGGGGGAAATCCTACTCTGTGTAATAGTTATATAGTTCGATTTCCCCAGACCCAATCCCCCCATGAAATATCATGGTTGTACTTATATATGGGGGATACATTGTTACAAGTGTGTGTCCCAAATGGCGACCAGTTTCATTGAAGCATACGAAGTAGGAAAAATTGAAAATTTTAAATCTCATTTTTCTCAATTTTTTTGAAGTATTAATATCTAATTCTTTTTATCTGGTCAAACTGGTTTCTGAAAAAAAAATATGGTACAATGTAATAGGGTGAACAAATTTTTAACTGTATCCATGGAAACAAAGGGAATTTTATTTTAAATGGATTTTTTTCTCAAATTGTATTTCAAACTACATGTACATAATATTGATGTGTAAGTGAGATTTTGGTGTTTAAATATCCAAAATAGCTGCCGTTGCCATGGAACTAAATATATTAAGTTTATTTCTTTCAAAAAAAAATAAAGTTTTGCAAAACTGTAAGGGGATTTGTTTTCTGCTTTCAAATCCAATATTACAACGCTTGGGTCGTGGGGGCATATTTATGCTTAGGGTTGCAAAAGCAGTGTTTCTTGTATTGTTTTGTTTTTGGCTTTTTTCCCTTTGGAGAAATGTTCGCTTCAAATACTCATAAAATGGTAGGTTGAACCTATCAATAACATAAATTGTAGGATTTGTAAAAAGGATGGATTCATAGATAAAACACTGGGCCTTTTAGTGGGCAAACAAATTATCAAATCACTAAAGGTGGCCTGATATACATTTTAAAATCCGTGAACAAACAGGTACCGCTGCGCCGAGAGAGGGTGTTGAGGCATCGAATCTTACGATTATTTTAGCGACTACTTTTACGATTTCCTGCGAGTTAAAATTTTGGGTTGAGACTCAATGATTTGAAGTATATATGGATCCAATTATGATCAATTATATTGATCAATTATAATCAATTACTTATTTTAAGATTTCACACTAAATTTGACAATTCTTGAGTTGGAAACACGCATATTTCCATTAAAAATCAGTTGACTCTTATAAACTTTTAGCCAAAATATTGTCGATATGATTTAAGCATTGATAAAAGAGGGGGAATCCTGTTTTGAGAAAGAAAGTGGAGGAAATTTGGCTCTAGTGCGAGACTTCCCCTCAGGGGGAACTCCTACTCTGAGTACAGATTCCGGGGGGGGGGGGGGTTGGCTATGGGGGAAATCCTACTCTACAACACCGGTAGATCACATGATGTAGTGTAAAACACCATACAGACTAGGTGTTTCTAAGGTTATCTTCTAAAATAAAATTCTGACCTAATGTTCCTAAAATTGAAAACAATCTTCTATGAAATAACAATACGGTTATGAAAACACAGGCGACAATTATTCATCGAAACTTTTCAGTCCAATGTTGTATCATAAACCAAAATGACTAATCAACAAACATTTCAGTATTTATTAGACAACACATAAGTAATGAAGATGATGAAACCGTATCCCCAAATATGCAATATAAATGCACTGTAAGTTTATTTAATGATCACATTAATTATCACATTGACTCAGTTGGCACCAATATTTGTTAGATGCGTACGAAACTACAATTAAATTTTGAATACTTGCATTACATGTACGAGAATAAAATTAAAGGCATACAAAATTACAAGTATTATGTAAACAAATTAAAACCTCCATTCAGGAAGTTTTTATAAAGATTTATATAACCTGTCTATATATGTTACAGTTCCTATCATATTAACGTACACGTATACAACATTAAATATAAGCAAAAACATTCAAGTACAGAAAAATAGATTTATAAAAATACTGTTCACAGGAAGGTTGAAAATCTCACGAGAGAACAGACACGCTTTGCGAGTATTGCAACATGTTCTGAACATGTATTGTTGAATGAAGCTGGCACCATCGATCTTTATAATCAGTATGATGATGAAAATGTCTTTGTCCTGTTATTTTGTGCTCGTTTGTGCAGTAGTGGAGCAGACTGGGCACGAATTCTGCTGATAGCTGTAGGCCTACACAATCTATCAACAATACTACTAAGTTCATGAGCATCCACAACCCTCCAAGTGCCCGGATAATGTTTTTTAAGTTCAGGGTATTTGTGTTGCATATATGGTCTGCTCTTGAACTCCCTCATTGTTTTAGAATGTTGCTCTTCGTAGGCTTTTCGCTCATGTGACCACAAAACTGACCTTCGTGCACTTGCAGTGGTTGGCCTAGTCACTGTGTTGTCGACGTAAGTCAGGGTTGTTTCCTGTAGTGGTGGACCGAAGACCTCCCTCCGAATGAATTCTTCACTGACATTGCTCTGCGGGGTAAAGAAGTGTAAAAATGGGTATATGTATTATAAATCATAGATTTCAGAGTTGAAAAAAAAATCAAAATAGAAAGACAATTCCCATCAGTACACTTTGATTAAATTAAATTTAATTTCTTAAATTGAATTGTAACAATTCTATAGATGAAGACTAAACTCAAGCATCCTTGGCAGAACATTTCAGGCAGCATGTAAGTGGAATTATTGTCAAACACAGCAAATCTTTTAATAGGTTACTATATAATTATATATCTTATCAAAATCGAGAGTTATCTTTCTTAACAGACGGACACGTCACTTTAATCAACGCTGAAAGACAAAGTCATATTTCAATTCTTCATTTGTCAAATCTTTTGCACTGTAAATTTATCTCTGCTCACTTCCCCCTTTTTTAATTAAAATTTTTTTTTCAAAATTTCTTTAAAAAAAATTTAATGGGATTTATAATTATTTTCTCTCTATTTCTGATCACTGTTTAAAAAACATAACATATCAAAGACATCGAATTTTTCCTAGGGGGCGTTTCACATATATACGTTATGTACAAATTATCAAGACTTTCAAAACGCTTGGAATAGGGTCCCAAATGAAAGAATTTGAAACGAAGTTGATAAGAAAGAATAAAATCGGGAAGTAGGTCCCCCAGGGTGAGCCTAAACTTTCTTTAGCCATCAGTTGGTCTACTATACCGGTATATGATGAAAATACTTTCAACAATAGTTTGCTTTCTAATTTACGACATACCTTGTTTCCTAAGAACAAAATCGAAAAGGCTTGCCATACCAATGCATTATTAATTGCATGGTGAACAAGAAAATGAATTATTAATTGCCTCTCAAATTAAAAACCTTTCACCCTCTTCTTGTTTCACTTTTGTTCTCTTGTTTTAAGTTCCCTAGGAGATGTGTTTTACTAGACACAACACGAACTAGTGAAATATAATGTCTGTCTCGGCCATCCCACTCAATGTCAGGTTGACATACTATGTATTATTATGGGGAGTTGTGTGTATCCGAAATAAAATTTTTCGATAACATTTCCCCCCAAAAAACCCAGATTCTATTTAAAATAAACAACAAACAAATAAACAAAAACGAAGAAACAAACAAAACAGTCGAGAAACAAAATTCTTTAGGTATTTGAATTATGGCTTGAAATGAAACACATGTTGGTCTATTGTATCATTTTATCTTCGAGCAAAAGAAGTTGGAATAGACTTATATTTACATAATATGCGATTTCTTCTTGAGGTTCCTTTGAAAGAAATATTCTAAGTTCAAACCGGGCTAACCCTTAATAACTTCAACCAATGAGGAGTAATATTGCAACCAAACCCCATCAATTTATCAAACTCTGTGTATTTTTTGAATGAAATAAATAAATTATTGGAATATTAATCCAAGTAATGTATTTCAGTTTTAAAACTTTATGAGTACTTTTTCGTTCATGCCTATTTTTTAATGAAGCGATAACACTTCGTGAAATATGCCAGGGTAAAAAGTATCATGTAGGTCATACCTTCGAGAATTTTCAGAACTGAAATACATTTTTTAAATTACTTCATCTATTATACACACTCTTTTACATTTTTTTTAAATTCAAATCTTATTCAGAAGACTGGATCATTGTTAAATATGACAACGACTGACTTCAAACACGATGGCATGATATTAGTGATTTTAAGGTAATCTTTTTTGGCAAGTGTATTTTGGGGAAAAAAACCATATCGTTCTCATAAACACGAATGGTCCAGAAATAACTAGATACCTTCGATCAAAAAAAAGTTATCGATGAACATTATTAATAGCCTAACTTAATCCATCGTCAGATCTATTTTTCTTTGTTTGCGAAGACCCGATGATATTATACAGATACCCTTTTTTAAGTCCACGTGAACCATCAAGATCACAAGTACGTTTGTTTGTAATAAATCTGATACAAAATAAGATATTTGTGTTCTGTAGGCGAACCTGTAACTTAACGTTTTAAATCCGCGGATGATATCGATTTTAGCCTTTGCAAACAATAAAGAATATACAATTTGCATTCCCGCAATGAAATATTAGTCTAAAGGTTTCCGCATATTTACATAGGCTAATTCAGTCCAAAATATTAAGTTTCTCCTAAGAACATTGTGATTTATAGAAGAAAGATTAAAATCAAAGTATACCTCATTGATGAGAGCAGCCTCTTCCTCTTCAGTCAGCATAAAGGTTGGAAACTGGTATTTCACGGATTGGCGCCGTTTGAAGTCCTCTCTCCGACTCTCGAACTGGGCAGACGATGACTGACGGCGCTGACTTCCGCCAGACATAGTCGACGGTCTGCGAGCTATGGAAACTGACATCTTCCTGTCTCATGCCATTGCTGTAAATAACTCACTAGTTGCCCACTGTCAACATTCCCACCTGAAAAAAAGATAAAGCTAGTAATCTTTATCAAGAGAAAGTTGCCAGGTGGTATAGTAGATGAAGCATGCACTTAAACTTTCCTACACCATTTAAAAAAATTACTTTATCCAAAGAATATGTTTTATTGATATCTTTTAAATCATATTATATGTGTATATGCAATGTTATATGATTATTTTTCTCTCGATAATGAAAGGTACATTGTTTTCTGAAATTAGAGAAATAGGAAAAGAACTTAGTATATATACATTCGAACTATACACATTTTTCATCTGAAAACGCTAACGCACTAAGATAAGATAGCTAGGCTTCCCAGTAAAGACAATTCTGTGAGTTCCAAAATTGTCTCAAAACTATGACAGACAAACAAAACGAGCAAACGGAGTGGAGTGGGGCCACACGACTTCTGTCTCTCAGTATCTAGTAGATCTTGCAAGATCTTTCCAAAACAGTGATGCAGCATGTATATTTTTGACGCAGGTTTCATTTTAAATGACATTTTGCCAATCTCATGGCTATTTAAATCTTTTACAGTTCCAATTAACAACCGTTATTTTCTACGGTTAAATCCGATCATTTTTTGAACTTTGATTTTTTTTCTTCAAAATTTGAATTTAAATTCTTTAAACATCCCAATAATAGGTTGGTTAAAATGTAATTTTATACTTAGACATGGGCTTTGCTATATATTTTTTTTTCCATTAGAAAGGTATTTATAAATTAATCATTCATATCTTGAACTGCATCGATTTAAAATTAAGATATTGAAAATATTGTACTTTTTCCGAAAGCTAGATTTAAATAAAAAGAATGCAGTACGTGTACTTACGTTTGTACTCAAATCTTTCTTCACAGTCTTGAAAAAAAACGGTCTTGAGCCTCAAAGACCAATATTTTAAATAGAATCAAGGCAAACATTTAATAAATAACAATAGATGCCTGAAGTCAATTAAGAGCCTCAGATTAGATCAGATCACGATACATATGACTTAACGACGGAACATTTCTATTTGTATATAAAGAAACAGTTACGAGTCTTTGCGTTAAAGAAAAAAAAACTTATCGGCTTTTAAAAGTCGCCGATCGTCCAGTGATTGACAAAAATAACTTTAATGCGTGGTTTTAGCATTTAATCCATAATTTGGTATTTAGACACTCGAATAAGAAAAATCATACGCGAGTATGCAGTAATGTTAAAAGGAACTGACTCTATGCAAAGTGATAAAGTTAGACGTCGGGAAATATAGCCATAGTGCAATAAAAAAATCGTTTGCTTGAAACTTATCAATAAAGGATATCTTACAAACCTACATATCTTGCAAACAATGTAAACTTTATGTTTTAGTTGTTAGGTACTCGTGAAAATGAATAAAAAAAGTCCTTTCTTAAATACTTTTGGAAGTGTGTTTTTAATTTCATGAATGCAAAGTCCTTGTTATTAAGGAGTATCTCTCTTCTAGGAAAGATAACTTAAATCTTACCATTTCTTTTAATTTACAATTTTTGTTCTTCAAGAATCTATATAGTATCTCACTCCAATTCTCAATGACCGTGTAGTATATAGGACAGCGCCGCGAGAATTCTATCGCCATCGAAAGGATTTTTTTAAAAATAATTTGTCTAATTGGTCGAGCGGTCTGGCGCGCTGTCCCTGCAATGCTAGGAGACAAGTTCCGCAGGTCGAGAGTTCAACCCCGGGCTGGGACGACAGTGGGTATCTTTATTTGTGCTTTCTATATTAATACAGTCAAACCTCGTTATCTCAAAGTCGATGGGACCGAGAAAAAACTTCGAGGTATCCGACGACTCGGTATATCAAGGGTAAAATACTCAAAGAATAAGTGGTTGGGACTTCAAAATCACTTCAACATATCCATGGTATTCGAGATATCGGTGTTCGAGATACCGAAGTTCAACTGTATTTCTTCCTTTAGGGCAGTTATGTTAGTTACGAAGTTTATTGTAAATGTGCTTCAAAAATAATATCTGTGCAATGTGTATCGGTAACGATCCTCTAATAATTTGAAATATTAAAAAACGTTGACTGCGCAGAACTTATACGCGCCAAGTTCACTATTATATGTATTTGTATAAAAAATTTAGTATAACATAATATACATTTCATTTAGTTGAGGATGACTTTGAAAAATTTTCACCCCAAAAATCCCCTAGAAGGAGTTGTACCATTGGGCATTCCAGGTCATGAAAACAATCTCTCCTTTACAATCGGTCTCGTACATTGGATAGTTAAAGCATTTTTCCATGCCCCACATTTCTTTTCAACAAATTTACCAACACGTGATTCTAACCGAGTAAGAAGCTCAAGTCAGATAGGCCATATCCAAATTATGTAAGTTGAATGTCCCCTCCTCATGAAGATGTACCCAAAGCCACTATGTATGAGTTCATGTCAACAAATTACAAATGTGTCTGAGAAGTATGAAGCGATTTTGTTCAGCAGTATAATGAGTATCAATAAAAAGTCACAATTTTGGACAGTCGGGAATCAGGAGTACTAGGTTTACCGCTTGCAGCGAAAAGAGTACGCAGTTAACGTGGAACATCACCGTTTGAGAGTCTTCTATCGAAGATATTCATTGTGATTGTTGTAAACGGTGAGTGTTGGTTGCAACTTTGTCAGTCTAAACTATCTCCGAAAACGGAGAATACTCTGAAACGGGATTAGCCAACAATACGGGGCGGATATTCGATATGCAAGCACAATTAACTCTTGCCGTAACCAATATAAACAAAACTACGGTGATGACTGAGGCCTGTTCAACAGCGCGAACGTTCGCGAGCGCTCGCCAACATTTCTGTTCAAAGGATAAGGAATTTAGGCGAGCGCTCGCGGACGTTCGCTCTGTTGAACAGGCCGTGTTTAGGCTAAGTGTCCTTTTTTCTAAGAATGAAAGTCAGAAATTTTTATGCTTAACAGTTTAGCAAAGTATTGTATAAACCAACTTCCTATAATGACTTTATATGGTATACATTTAATGTTTTCAAAAAACTTTCATTATTTTTATGGGGCACCATTTCATCGACCTTTTTTTTCTCATTATGTTAGCTTTTCACATGTTTATCTATTCTGTTCTTGAAATTGACTTTAGTTAATTATTTATTTAAATTAATATTGTACAAGTTTATATAAAAAAAATACCTCTCAAAGTATTTTTATTTTGTGTGACGTCTCGTTTTAACTTTTTTTTTCATTACTCATTTACTGAATTGAAAACACAAAGAAAAAATATACATGTTCCAAATGGCCGACGTTCTTCGATCGCTTAAATTAAGAATTCTGATAAATAAATCTATAGCAACAAACATTTTTCATCCAAAATAAGCATCTGGATATAAAAGATACATACTGATGAAAGTGTTGAAAAAAGCATTTTTAATAATTTTATAATATCTTTTTACATATCATCTGATTTGGATTTTGATTCGGCGAGGAAATGACGGTAAAATCATCTGAGGAGTTTTATTTTGTTCAGGCTTGAGCCTAATTTTGTCAGATTTCTGGATTTTTATTTACGCATTCATTTCTCTTCCAAAAATATTACTCTTTGAATTAATTCTTCAAAGAGAATAAGTTCATCTTTATCCTTCACTTATTCACATTGTTGATATTTTACTGATATTCAATTTAAATGTTCAATCTCTTTAGGCCATCAGACAAACACCTCGCATTTGTATACATAGACATTAATACTGTCTGCATATAATGTTTATTGCTGGATATAAGAATGGCAAATGTACGGAAGCGTAATAGGGCCGCAGCAGTATCTTTTATTAATTTGTTTTAACAAATTACTAATTTGTTATAACAAATTATCAATTTGTTATAATAAATTATCAATTTGTTAAAACAGATTACTAATTTGTTATAACAAATTATCAATTTGTTATAACAAATTATCAATTTGTTAAAACAGATTACTAATTTGTTATAACAGATTACTAATTTGTTATTATATAAATAGTGCACGTTTTTGAGGGTAACAGTTGAAATTGACACCCCAAGGAAAACCATTGTCAACCGACGCGTCAGCGGAGGTTGACAATGGTTTTCCGAGGGGTGTCAATTTCAACTGTTACCCTCAAAAACGTGCACTATTTATTTTATTATACTGAATGTCTTATTGATTTCGGATGTCATTAAAAAATTCGGAGATCGTTCGTTAACTTCACGCTTAGAAAGCTTTCAAACTCCCCGCTTCTATTTTTCTCAATAGGAAAGCTTCGTAAAAGATTTACCAACCTCTTTATTATTTGTTTGCTACTCAAAAGTCCTTTATCACCTAAAGTTTGCACTCGCAAGGATGTTTCGTCTGTCGTTTGTCTTTTTCAAGTAAGCTACATCGGACGCAAGCTTTTATTGACGTCGTTTATTCGGCTTCCTTCAAACGCACAACCGACGTTTTGAGAATTCTACGGTGAACCGTACGCGCATGATTTGAACGCATGTGATATTTTCGTAATGTTACCCGTTGTCAAGTGTGTTGCTAACGCTGAGGGTAATATTACGGATTGTTAAATGTGTCTAAACCAATCAGATTTTAGTATTTAATATGAAAGTATAATAAAACAAATTATCAATTTGTTATAAGAAATTATCAATTTGTTATTACAAATTATTAATTTGTTATAACAGATTACTAATTTGTTATAACAGATTACTAATTTGTTATAACAAATTACTAATTTGATATAACAAATTATCAATTTGATATAACAAATTATTGATTTGTTATAACAAATTATTAATTTGTTATAACAGATTAGTAATTTGTTATAACAAATTAATAATTTGATATAAGAAATTATTAATTTGATATAACAAATTAGTAATTTGTTATAACAAATTAGTAATTTGTTATAACAAATTAGTAATTTGATTTAAACAATTATTATTATTATTATTTTTTTTTTTACAAAATATGAAGGTGAATACAGAT